ACGTAGCAGCACCTGAATGTATTAAAAACAGTCCGAACATTCCTCAGCCAGTTCACCATGAAAACCCTCAGCTGAACACCCGGTGCGCCTCTGCTACATCCGCAGTCGTATTATGTCCTTGCCAGAACCCCAGCGCCCTCCGCCCGTTGTCACGCTCAGCTCCTGCCAGGATCCCAGCGTCCTCCGGCCGTTGTCACGTTCAGCTCCTGCCAGGACCCCAGCGTCCTCCGCCCGTCGTCACGTTCAGCTCCCACCAGGACCCCGGCGCCCTCCGCCCGTCGTCACGTTCCGCTCCCACCAGGACCCCAGCGCCCTCCGCCCGTTGTCACGTTCAGCTCCTGCCAGGACTCCAGCGTCCTCCGCCCGTCGTCACGTTCAGCTCCTGCCAGGACCCCGGCGCCCTCCGCCCGTTGTCACGTTCAGCTCCTGCCAGGACTCCAGCGTCCTCCGCCCGTCGTCACGTTCAGCTCCTGCCAGGACCCCGGCGTCCTCCGCCCGTTGTCACGTTCAGCTCCTGCCAGGACCCCGGCGTCCTCCGCCCGTTGTCACGTTCAGCTCCTGCCAGGACCCCGGCGTCCTCCGCCCGTTGTCACGTTCAGCTCCCGCCAGGACCCCAGCGTCCTCCGCCCGTTGTCACGTTCAGCTCCTGCCAGGACCCCAGCGTCCTCCGCCCGTCGCCACGTTCAGCTCCCGCCAGGACCCCAAGCGTCCTCCGCTCCTCCCAGGACCCCGGCGTCCTCCGCCCGTTGTCACGTTCAGCTCCTCCCAGGACCCCGGCGCCCTCCGCCCGTTGTCACGTTCAGCTCCTGCCAGGACCCCGGCGTCCTCCGCCCGTTGTCACGTTCAGCTCCTGCCAGGACCCCAGCGTCCTCCGCCCGTCGCCACGTTCAGCTCCCGCCAGGACCCCAGCGTCCTCCGCTCCTCCCAGGACCCCGGCGTCCTCCGCCCGTTGTCACGTTCAGCTCCTCCCAGGACCCCGGCGCCCTCCGCCCGTTGTCACGTTCAGCTCCTGCCAGGACCCCGGCGTCCTCCGCCCGTTGTCACGTTCAGCTCCTGCCAGGACCCCAGCGTCCTCCGCTCCTGCCAGGACCCCCGCGTCCTCCGCCCGTCGTCACGTTCAGCTCCTGCCAGGACCCCAGCGTCCTCAGCTCCTGCCAGGACCCCAGCGTCCTCCGCCCGTCGTCACGTTCAGCTCCTGCCAGAGCGCCAGCGGAGAGGCCTGGCCGTGTCTACCGTGACCACAGAGCCGCGCGGACCGAGCGCCGCGGGCCAGCCCTGATGGAGGCCACCCGAGCAATACGACATGATTCGATTGTGCCGATTGCTGTTTATCTTATCTGGAGTAGGAGGGGGACACCTGGCCGGGGCCGGCGGAGGATCCGATCGGGAGAGGGGGGGGGGGGGGGGGGCTTCGGCAGGCGAAGCCGTGCCAGTTGACCACAGCAGTCTGGTCGGCGAGCGGACGGCCCCGTCCCTGGCGACAGCCGCCAGCCCCGCGACGCGCACTACCCAGAAACCGGAATAACTGAGCTGCTCAACTTAGCGAACGATCAAAGTGAATATGCATACCTTTGTGTTTGAACAGCCATTTCAGCTGTAAGACAACACCATGGTAAAACGTGCGCGACTCAGATTTTTACCGATGGGTACAGCTTGTAGGCTATCTTTGCTATAGCCACATACATTTGCATAGCATCCGTGCCATGTTTGCACAGCTCCCAAAATAGCTGGAATACTAACATATATCACACAGAATGTTCTTCACTAATGCACTGAAGAACTTACGTTAAATGTCACACAGCATGCAATTATGACAGCCACAGCTGGGGTCAGGACACGCTCCCAAGTAAACGCCACGGACTGGCCAGCAACAGCGTCCCAGCTTCCAACGTTCGGAAGCTTACGTCACGACCAAAGCAACTGCGTTTGGACGCAAGACGCGCAGTCGCGGACGAACGCGAGCCGGGACCTGCTGCGCCACATTCCGCCCATCCCGGCTGGAGGCGGTCGTGCCGCAGCCGGGCGCCCGACGGTGACGCAGCCGGCGGCGGACGTCCGACAACCGAACACCCGGCTCGGCGGCGCGGCCGCCGCCGGATCCGCAGCCCTGCCCGTCCTGTCCCAGCCGACGCCGCCCTCGACGAGGGCCTCCGTAGGCGCCATCCGCACGCTCTCAGTCATCCCATCCGCTCGCGAGTCCCGAACGGATCGGACACGCCGCCGACGCCGCCTGCAGGTGCCGTGTGCCGGCACCGCACCAGCCGGCCTGCGAGCCCGTCAGCGGGCGGCGGGACGGCGGCGGTCGGTGCGGCGGCGCACTCACCCGGCAGTTTGGACGCCGTGCGCATCACGGTCCGCTCCAGCCACAGACTGGCGAACGGGTTGTCCGGGTCCTTGGGCGTTCTCCGGATCGGTCGCGAGTACACGAATCTGTCCACGTCGTTTATCTGGGGAAGGGCGGGGGTGGGGGGGGGGGGGGGGGCGGGCGTCAGAGTTGGGGCGGCGGTCACAACTGGCCAATGACAGTGACCTGGAGCAAACACACCGTCCGATTACACTGCGTTTTAGTGGGAGGGCTGATGTGCAGCAATAACACCGCAAGTAATTTCCACCCACGAACAATGACACCACACATCACGGATCGCCGTGAGCGAGTCCGCCCAGCCCTCGGGAGCGCGCGGCGTTGTTCGGCGAGCTCGATGTTCCGTCCAGCTTCCTAGCGGCTGGTTAGTGTTAACGGAAACATCCCTCACGAGCCTGTGGAGCAGCACACAAGCCACTGTAAGGAGAGACAGGGAACCACCTGCTTCCTATCAATTGGTCCGCCCGGAGCCCTGCCACCAGACTTTGACTCAGCAGACCTTGTTGGGGACCAAGCCGTAAACGATGGCCAAATATTTACACTACGCTTCTTCTCCTGCGTGAAAAAGATGGATTATACACACAGACAACGCCACTGAAGTCGCCCATTTTGTTGCAAACAAAATTATACGGACTATGATGAGGCTGGGGCGGCTCAGTTAGCTCTCACGCGAGTCCCACACGGACACATGCTAGGTACGCACGGCTTTGAAG